TGGGAGCAACAAAACCCAAAATGTGTAATTGTCATTGTACAAAAGAGAGGAAAAGAAAGTGCTCTAAATGATATAACTGCATGTATATTTAAGTGTATAAGATAGAAAATGATATCACTGAGTTTTATTGGATCATTGAACAGAACTGTTTGCAGTATCATTGTTGGAATGTCCACTTTACAAGCTTTAATTTTGTGACTTGAACAATTATTTCTAAGATGACAATATGTAATCCATTAACTAGTGATTTCCTACTGTTTATTTTTTTCTGTAAATCTGTATAACTTGTACCCTTTCTCTGCTTTTTTTTCTCCTTAAATAAAATTTTAAAAAAAAGTTTTCTGATCCCTTGTTTTATTTCTGTGTAGTTATCTTTACCATTCTTGTGTATTCTTCCATTGTTTTGTCTGGGTAGGTTCTTCAGTTCTGTCTTCCACGTTCCCTCATTCTATTTGCATCTGGGTCTATTTGATTAGATTCTTAATTTCAGTTGTTTTTCAGTTCTAGAATTTCTATATACCATATTTCCTAGTTGTTAGTTTTATCTGTCAGACCTCTGTAACTCCCTGACATCTAAGGATAAATCTTTTGCAAAGTCACACTACGACTACAGAAAGAAGGGCAGTCCTTTAAAGCAAAAGTGGATTATTTATTTTCCCTTTCCAAAGAATAAGTAGTAATAGATAACCTAAATCCACAGATATTCATCATGTTTCCTTTTCTGAGTAGTCAGGTCATTCAAACTTACTGCTTTTTATAAGCAGAATTTTAAAAACTCTTCCAGGGGCTATTGTGCAGTGTGACTCCTGTTTAGTTTACTACCAGGTCAGTGGATAGAAGCAGATAAATGACCTAAAACTTGGGCAGTACCTGTTGCCTTCAGAATCCTGGATTTGTCAGCTAGTTATTTTGCCTCTTATCGTGTGCAAGGTAAAACAATTATCATTGACTTTACTTTTGTTTATTATTAGTTTTGAGTAAATACTGTCACAAGCATTATGATATAAGTACTAATAAATAAGAACATACAGGAATAACACACATTCAAAATAATAAAATAAAGGAGAAGGAATGTCAAACAAACAAACAAAACACTATGATGGCATTAAGGTGAAAAGGTTCCATAAAGTATCCAGTGAAACCTAAATTCCTATCCTGCCCTTTCTATCCATTCGCCCAGGTCTCCTCACTGGAGGCCATCACTGCTACTAGTTCCTTATGTGTTCTCATGTTAAAGTGCACATCACTGTAGCCATCCAGTCCCAACTAAGTGAGGTGGGAGGCAAAATGGAACTTTGGACTACTTGGGAACTTCTTGACCCAGAAACACAGCTTCATGAAAGACTGAATCCTGAGGCTTTAGAATACCTTCCCTCTCTCTACACCTTACCACCACTGTAAAAAAAAAAAAAAAAAAAAAAAAAGTCCTATTTATAGCAGTTCTTTGTACCCAGTACACCATGTCCAGTTCTTAAAAAAAAAAAAAAAAAAAAAAAAAAATCAAGGGCAAACTACGAGAAAGAATATAGTTTAGAGAAAGAACAAATGTCAGAAACAGACATGGATTATCAGGTAGAGAATTTAAAATACCTATGAGTAATATGCTAATGAATAAAGTAGATAGCATACAAGAACATTTGGGCAGTGTAAGCCAAGAGATGGGAATACTAAGAACCCAACAAATGCTAGAGATCAGAGGTACTGTATCTTAAATGACACAAGGTCGTGATTTCAATCCCCATACCAAAAAAAAAAAAAAAAAGTCTAGTGTTTTACCCAGAAGAGAGTAAGAAAGCCAATCAGACAAAATCAGATACCTATTCCAAAATGTTCTCTTTAGGTCAGCATTTCTTAGAAGGGCACCCCTGGCTTTTATAGGAGAATTTTTTTTGTTTGTTTTTATGAGCTGTCGGCCCAAAATACCACATTGTGTTTAGCATTCCTGACTCTCAGAAAGCAAATCATGGTGACACTCACAGTGCTACTGTCATAACCAGGACAATCCCTTTGCCCCACTCCACTCCACTGTGGACCAGGACACTGAGAGCATTGAGAGCTGTTGCACAGCTCCTAAAGCTGACTTTTCGAAAACCATTGCTTCCACTGCTAAACAAAAAATTGTTTGTAATCTTATAAAATAATGGCTTTTGTTTCTTTGTCAAAAATTTCTCAATTTATTGTTTACAAATATCTAATCTGCTTTTATATTGCCACATGAAAGACATAAGAAATCCATCATTTTGTTTCTTCAGTTTATTTCTTCGTTTAAGAATGTAAGTTATTGGGGCAGACTACATTCAAATTCCACAATTTTGGCCACTTACTAGCAGTTCCTTCTTTGGGTTTTTATATAATCTTATTCTGGGCAATTGTGCAATTGTTCTGTGCCTCTGTAAAGTGAGAATAATAATTGTATTCATTTCATAAAGTTTTTGTGCTAAGTAGTACATATAAGGCATTTGTTGTATTGCCAAGAGCATAGTAAATGTATGCAAGTATAAGCTATTATTGTATTTATAAAATGAAATTTCAGAATTAAATTTCACACAAGTAATTTAAAAATACTTCAGTTTTTTCCTTGGGCGAATTATCTTTTAAAAATTAAATTGCTTAATCAGGAAAAGCATTTTGCTATAATGTTTAGTTTAAAACTGGGCTGAAATTGTCAGAGGAGCATTCATTCAGTTTCTTTTGTTGTTGTTTGGTTAGATATGTGACAAATTCTGAGAAGAATTTACATACCACAGAAGGAGCAGTAACTAAGTGAACGAGTACATGCCCAGGGTAGTTACTGCTGTGAATGGCTGCAAAGGAACAGGCAGAAAGATGTGGAAGCAGGGAGGGGTCTGGTGTGTCCTGGGGCAGGTCAGAGTAGGGCTGATTTAAGTGAGCTGGGATAGGTGACTGGGTGGGTGCCAGAGCCTAATTAGCAGGATCTCAGGGACTCTAATGCGGCCCTAGGACTTCTGTCCCAGGGAGTTAAATTTTTTCCCCAAACTGTGGAAAAAAGGGTTTTAAACAGGAGAACTTGCTGGGTGTGACTTCATATTTGCAAAAGTTGTTTTTGTCTCTCTTTAGAAGAATGAATTGGAGAAGAGCAGGTGAATCTGGTAGAAAACAAATGTGACACTCCTGAAAAGGAATGCAAATGGAGTGAAGTGGTGGCAGTGAGACAGAAGGAAGTGGACACAGTCATGTCATGTCACTTACATTTATTCTGGAGTAAAATTGACTGGTAATGGTGATGGCTTGCATGAGAGGACCATAAAAGACAAAATAGGGCTAATGCCTAGATTTTTGAGTAGTAGGTAAATGTTTAGATTATTTTATTATGGTAGAAGATACGTTGTCATTAACACCCTTCAGATCTTCCCCACTTGCTTGGAGCACCAAACCCACTGTTCTTGCCACTTTCTGAAGCAGTTCTGCAAATCCTCCTCTGTGTCTTTATTTCCTTGTCGCTCTTACCTCAGTGTGCTGAATCAGTTCAGAACATTTGCCTTTCATGCTCATTTTGACTTTGGAGAAGAAGCAGAAGGCACACAGTGTCAGATCCAGTGAATGCAGAGGGTAAGGTGGGCTCACTTTTCTGTAGATTGGCACTGAGCAGAGGCAGTCATTGTATATTTGATCACACTTACAAAAAGACAATTTCCAGAACTGCTTCAGAAAGTAGCAAGACTGATGGGGAGTTTGAAGTGAGAGGGAGTATTTTGAGGGGGATTAATGACAGTGTTTTTTACTTTAAATTTAAACATTCACCATATATTTTGATCACACATAAGTGCCATTTTGATAGTATGTATATATTTTCTCAACTATTAACCTTTTTTAAAAATTTTGACAGTACTTTTCAAATCTGAAATTGTTAAGTATTACTTTAGAATTTTTATCTTCCTAGTTTTGATATAACAGTCAAATTGTACAGTCTTCTTAAATTTCTTCTTGTTTTCCTGTTTAGTAATGGGAACTTTCTTTGTTGATGTTTTTGATATTTAAGAACATTTTACTAGTTGATTATTACGATTAAGGATTTAAACTCAGTGATTTACCACTTGCAGTGCAGTCTCTTAAAATGAGGTCTTAGAGTGTCATCCAGCCCTGAGGAAGCCAGGAGTCTGTGAAAGCCTGTACCTGTTAGGAGGAGACCTCCTTGGTCTCTTACTTCCCCTATTCTCCCAGAGCGTGTAGGGGCGCTAGGGAGTCAGTCCCTTGGCTCACTCCCCATGAAGCATATACTCCTGTGGCTCCCCACTATGCTGTTGAACATGGACTTAAGGGTAGGAAGTCAGGCTTAGGAGATTTTATTTTCCATTACTTAAGACTAGTACACCTCCTTAATAACTGGAATTTATTACACTTTACTAAAATATGACCTCTTGTGGACAAAATGAGATCATGTATGTAAAGCAGTCTTTAATTAAGCAGACTGTTTAAATTGATGCATGTGGAATGGATTTTTACTTTTTTTCTAAGAAATAGAGACATTGGGAAGAAAAATCATTAGTGATGCATAGAGATTTTTGGCTGTTTTACACCTAAATGGGATGCCAGAACTGCATATAAAGCATAAGAACATCAAAAATATTTCTTAGGCACAGACTACTATTAAATACCCATGGATGTTTTTTATTTTCCATTACATTAAAATACAATATTCAAAGGAACTTCATTTTCTGAGCATTTAAAAATAGCGCAATCTTAAAATGAAGATATAAAATGTTATCGGCTATGTTCTTTGTACATAATTAGTATGTGCCTATGGAAGTATAATGACTTGTAACCTAAAGATATTATTCAGGATAAAAACCTCACATGGAAAAAATCAGAGCTCCAGCTGGGTGACACATTTTAGAAATGATTCAAAAATGACCCTAGCATCCAAGGCAGGCTTTTTCAGTCCCTTGGAATCCATCTTCAACCTAGGTGGATCATGAAGGCATGACTTTAAGGGTGGGAGGATCCTTTCTCAAATGATTCATTGGTTTCTTTTCTTACAGATTTGATGTGTGCTCCCCATTTCCTTCAGTGCTTGGCAGCCTGCTGTGCAAAGACGTCACCTTTTCCCTTTTTTTGAGATGGCTCAGAATTTCACAAACCTTACTTCTGACTGTCAGTATTGGCTGCAGAAGCTTTCTGCATTAGATCAGGCTTCTACTTTGGAAACCCAGAAGGACACCTGTCTGCACCTGCCTCAGTTCCAGGAGTTCCTGAGGCAGATGTATGAAGCCTTGAAGGAGATGGTAAATTAGTGATTTGTGCTATGGACCTTAGATACTCCATTAGAAAGATACACTACTCATAAATACTGCAGATAAGAGCTAATTTCCTATTCTCTGATTTATTATGACATAAACATTTCTTCTTGGCTAGTTGTCGCATGAGACTTTGTGGCCAAGCAAGTTTATTTATATATATTTTAAAGTTATTTTTCTTTTTTATTTATGTGCAGGAGATTGAACTTGGAGCCTTGTATATGTTAGGCAAGTGCAGTACAATTACACTATACCCCTTACTAGGTTGTTCTTAAATGACAGGACTTTGATACTTGTTATATAGGTAATAAGTGTGATTCTTTTCAAGGTCTTTGGGTCCCTCAGATCTTGAAAAGTTAGCTGAAATACCTCTGTGTTCCTCAACCCTGTTCTCAAGTGAGCTTTCCTAAGACATGATATGATCTATTCTTGTATTGAGATCTAACAATTAAGATGATAAAATCTGTCCCAAAAATATTTCAAGTGATATTTTTGGTAAATACTAAGATTTTTAATGTCTTTAATGACATTATATAATTTATTGTTTATAAAACTTCATGTTTTCCTTTTGATGTAATATTGCTTACTTTTGTAAATAGATGTTTTTATGGCATCATATTTTCATATAATAAGCATGTTATTTGTTTCATGTCCATTTTTAAATTTCAAAATGAAAAGCCAGATTGTCACTTAACATAGGTGTTCTCATGTTATACTTCTTTTATGTTAATCAAAGAACCAGAACGGAAATTTGAAGAATAAATTCTGTTGATGACTTCACATGTCTTTAGAAATTGGAAAAAAGATATGCTGTGTGAGAACAATCAATGCTAATTTTTACAATTTTCTGTAATAAGACTTATGTAACTTGACCTTAGTATGGTCCCAGAAAGTCTAGGAATAGCTTTGATATGGAGACAAATATGAAGAGTTTGTTGCTGCAACAGCAGGAAATGCTTATCATTTCAGTTGACCTGCACTTTATCTCAGGTGGGTCTAATTTTTGCAGTTTCATGAAAGTTCAGTTGTACAAGGCCAATTGTACAATAGCATGTGTATTTTTAAAATCTAAAGCTGTTTTCTATTTGGTTGATCTTTTTTTCTCTCAGGGTTTTAGCTTGTACAGTAGATTTCAAGGTCTTTGGGTAGATTATGGTCTTACAGTAGATTATGTGTGATGTCATTTAGCATGTAGAATTCAAAATAGTGATAAACAGAGGTATGTATCTTTATACTTTGGCAGCTTTTATTTCTTTTTGTAAGTTTCAGTTTTTGTCCTTTTAAATCTTCTTTCAAAAGAACCTTCCTGGAGTTTGGTTAGAAATGTCTCATTATGCTAGAATAAAAAATAGAATTAAACAGTTAGTAATTGTAATTTTAAATATAATAGCCTTTCCTATTAAATATGAATAAAATAAAATTAATTTTGTAACAAAATTTATTTTACCTGATTATATCATATGTCTTAGTTTTGGTAGCCTGAATAAGATGTTTGGTTGCTTGTTAAAATTTATTTGGATTTCTTACCTAATAGATTTTCTCTAATTTTTTTCCCTTTTCAAAAATATAGTCATTGCTGGGTATGGTGGCACGCATCTGTAATCCGAGTACTTGGGCAACTGAGGGAGGAAAATCACCATGAGTTCGGGGCCAATTTGGGCTACATAGTGAGTTCAAGGCTAGCCTAAACTATGTAGTGATACCCGGCCTCAGAAAACAAACAAAAATACAAACAAACAAAATTTACAACCCAATAAATGGTACATAAACTTTAAAAATACAGTCATCAAGGAGTGTTCAAGTTCCTTCAACCTACACTATCAGTTAAGGCTTTCTGAGTTGTATCTTGTCTTTTACTGATCAAAATGTAATTTTCCTTTACAGGATTCTAATACAGCCATGGAAAGATTCCCCACAATTGGTCAACTGTTGGCGAAAACTTGTTCAAATCCTTTTGTATTAGCATATGGTAAGAATCCAAAACATATCTTCTCAAAATCTACACATATGCATGTGCTCACTCATATACACACACACACACACACACACACACACACACACACACACCCATAGGAAAACGAGGCCTCTTATTATTACAGGGTGGACACTCCCAGATTACAGATTATTTATATAACAATTTTTGTCACCTCATTTCATTTTTAGCTCATTATAAAACAACTATATTATTAATACCAGATTAATTTGTTTCACAGTGTCACATTAACTCTCATATTATTTCCCATGTCATAAATCATTCTTCAGAGTCTTAAATCTGTTGTAAGTTGGCTATTATTTAGGGGTGATGTTTTGGTTTTATCCAAGGTTGAGAGAATTTGGGGACACTTTGGAGAGATTTTCCTTTACTGACTTCCTCTGCGTACCTGCCTAGCTTCATTGCTTATTTTTTTCCCCCATACCCACACCACGTGCCTTGCAGTTGGGTCCCTTTTTTTTTGGTCTTTTTTATCAGTACCAGGGATCAAACTCACGACTGCCTGCTTGCAAGGCAGGTGCTTATGCTGCTGAGCTAAATTTCCAGCCCCGCAGTTGGGTCCTGTTGCTGACAGTGCCTAAAGGCACTTGCTGGATTTGTGCAAGTGGACTCCTGAGACCATTCATTTTCCTGCTGTTCTCCTTTTTGTAATCTAAAGTTTTCCAAGGGCTCAGTTAGGGGGCCCTCCTAGTACCTGCACAGCTCCAGAGTCTCCTTTATTACAATACAGTACTTATTCCACCATCTGATGCACAGGAAGACTGAAGCCTCCAGAGAGCAGGACAGTAGGAGCTATGGCTTTTGTTTTCTGACATCATGAGCCCTGGCACAAGGTGGCATTAGGCACTCGTGGAGGAGCACAGTTGAGGTGTGAGGCCTTGGGATGACTGTATCATTAGCTAAGGTAACATTTACTTTCCGAATTTTTTAAAGTCTAAGATTATTTGTATAATTAATGACACTGGAACCAAACTAAAATGACCATTTTCCCCCCTTTTTCTAAGAGTTATGAAATTTCCCTTTCCAAGTCTGTTATTGGAGCCATGAACTAGGTTGGAGAGGAAAAATACTCTCCTTTGGGCCTGTGAACATGCGTGCCTGGGTGCTCTGCACAGGCGGCTCACTGGCTCCTCCCCACCTTCATCTGTCCCTGCCCCAGCTGGTGCCTTCTCTTCCCCTGCCCCCATGTAATGACAATGAGTGAACCATCCCAGTGGCCCACTAGGGCCACACTTACCTATCCTAAGTTTATAGATCCCAGCTAATCCAGTGTTTCTTAAACATCTTTATCCAGAAATACATATGTATTTGTAGATGTTTATTCTTACACACATGTATAAATTTACACATACCTTTACACATTCACAAGATTACATGTATTTCATGAATGCTTATTTTTATATGTGATCCATATTCACTGTGCTATTTGAAAAGCTCATGCTTATGATCCAAATCCAGTTTCACACCTGTGATACATTATGATTTAAAGTTGTATCAGTTAGGTTGATATGTTTGCTAGGAGACAGTTGTTAGTGCTGATGGGAGAAAATGGGTTTAAAAATTGATATGTGCTTTGCTTTGTGGGTGGGAATGCAGTGGTAGCTTATTATAGTTTATATTGCCCTCATTGTTAAGAAAGCCTTTGGAATCATTGTAGATTAGATTGTAGAAAGAGGCAGTCTGTCTGTCAGATGAGTTTACAGAGCCTCACTCTAGGTGCTAGGCGCCTGAGCCTCACCTTAGTGGCTTTGTTGTGAAATTCAGAGCTACTGTTTTTCGGGTCAGATACTGACATTTTCACTGTTTAGGCTCAGTTTTGTTCTTACTTGTGTTATAGAATCTCTACCTGGGTGGGTTCAGTCGTCACAAACAGGAAAAAGAGAGTGGCTCATCAAGTAGCTGTTTCCACCAAACGTTCTGCATTTTATCATGGATTTGGTTATATTTTAAATTTTAGGGTAAAGAATTATGAGCATGCAGAAGGCTTCTAATTTATAGAAATCATTTGGTATTAAGCATAATCATATTTTAAGAAAATCCTTTTTGTTAAATATCCTTGCTTGTTAAAAACAAATTTAGGACAATTAGAAAATTGAAAGAGTAAATTGAAATTATTGACTACTGACATGCCTGTAGTAGTTACATTGCTTTAAAAAGGTTGAATTTACTAATGGTTTGAAATGTGAAATAAAAATCTGATCTTGAGAAAACCCAGTTCTTTCATTTCTTTCCATCATTCTCCTTTGGCTTTAAAAACTGCTGCTGTTACAAAAAAGGAATTGGTCACACTAGGGCTGAGTGTAAGTGATCTTGAACCCACAATAAGAAAAAACCCACAAAGTTAAGTTTCACACATGGTCCTGGATGCTTGTTCTGTGAACTTAGTAGTTTGAGTATTTTTCTTAAATATGTTTTAGAAGTTTTCATATAGATTATCTGCTTTTCTATTTGATAAAACCTACTACACATCTTAGTTTTCCTTTTACAGATGAAAGCCAAAAGTTTCTGATACAGTGCTTGTGTTGCCTGATTAACAAAGAACCACAGAATTCTGGAGATTCAAAACTTAATTCCTGGATACGGGTAAGAGAGTAAATCTTGCTCTATACTGCTTTCAATTAAATTGATTAAAGTTGTTATTGCCTTTTCTTTTCTTATTTTTTGGTCCAGTTCTATGATGTTTTAAAATGTTTTTCAGGTATACCATCACTGTTAACATTGTCTTACTTGCTGGGGATTTAGCTCAGTAGTGTAAGCGCTTGCTTGGCAAGTGCAAAGTTGTGAGTTCGATCCCCGGTACAAAAACAGAACAAACCAAAAAACATTGTCTTACACAGTGGAAGCGTATCCAAGGGATTGCAGTTTTGCTTGAGTATGAATTCCAAATGATAGTGATCCTTAATGTAAACTTTGCCATGCTGACAAGATCTAATGTTGAGCAGTTTCTTTGTTTGTTTTTGTTTTTTTGGTACTGGAAATCAAACTCAGGGCCTCATGCTCACCAGTAGGCTGTGTGCCACTGAGCTATATCCCCAGTCCTGTTGACTAATTTTAAAAGGCCACTTTCTGATAACTGAAAGTATATACTCCATTTTTTTCTAGCAATTGCTATAGTTTGGAAAACAATCGATCTTTACTAGCCTTTTAAAAATCCTTATATAATTCCTCTCCAAGTATTCTCTGTGTCTCTCAGTTTATTCTGTACTGAGTCTAAAATTCAGAGCTACCCAAAGAGCAGCAGTCTTCATTTTGCATCCTGAAGTTGATACCTGTGCCAGTCTACTCACAGATAAATACCTGGTGCCACTTGATCACTACTGCTCACACTGTCTAATCTTTATCTGTGGCACTAGTCTGGAGCTGACAGCTTCCTCATTCCCCTTTCTGTTTCTGCTTCTTCTGGAAGGCAGGGCAGGGCACCTGCCTGTCTCCAGCAGCATGTTGCCTTTTCTTTTACCCTACATTCCTGCTGCTGCCACTCCAGGCTTGCCAACAGAAGGTTGAGAATGGACAGTAGTTGGAAATCTAGTCGTGGAAACCCACCTCAAGCCTGGAGTTGGTGGCTGCAGGACAGTGGGGTGGCAGAAAAGACTAGACAGCCTGCTGGAGGCAGGCTCTGCTTATTATGCACATGATTCTGATTAGTTTCTTAGAATTACACAGGTTACCCAGCCTCTGCTCACAGTTGTGTCCATTGATCTGTATACATCCATTGCATTTTATGACTCCTTTGTTTTAAACAAAATTGCTAACAGAGATGACACACACATATTTGTATTTTTCCATTAAACTGAAAGAAGGGACATGAAAAGTGAACAGTATTGAGCACTGGAAGGAAAGACATAAAATGGAAGGAAAATTAATGTGAAAGGATGAAGATAAGTAGGATTAGAATAAAAGGAATATGTAAAAACAAGGCTTTAGAAGTAGAATAAATTTATCTTTAACTTTTTAATTATTACTTTTATTGAATATTTAATATTTAAAGACTGTTCAGCATATAATTTTGTGTTAGCATTATTTGAATGATTTGGTTAATTTTCTTCATTTAGCTCATGACTTTACTAGCCTATTTTTACATTTCTAACTTCATTTTTGTTGTGGTTTTCTCTTGATTAATATTGTATTTACTTACTAATAGATACTTAAAAGTAGCACAGGGTGGTAAAATTAAAAACTCAATTCCTATTTCTTGGGAATTTACAGACTGGTAACCAGATCACACAAGGGCAGTGTGGCTGGGAAAGCTATGTAGTTATGATAATGACACAGGGAAACTTCCTCAGACATGGTACTTGAACATAATTTCCGGGGGAAAGTGACATACAGAGTTCAGAATGGCCTCCAACTCACGGTGATGCTCTTGCCTTAGCATGCTGGGATTACAGGTGTGCCCCACCATGCTTGGCTAGAATGTTCTAACTATAATAACAAAATCTTAGGTCAGTCAGTCTGTGTTCCTGGAGAATTGTAAGTATGATTAAAATGGAGTAAAACCCAATAATTTCTCCTATAGAGTATAAAATTGAAAAACATGTAGATGAATTATTAAATTTCAAAATGTTAGCCTGAGTTGTATTTTAGCACATAGAAGAATTGGTTTGTGCTTGACATATGTTAGCAAATATTGTGTTGGAAATATGTTAAAAATTTCTGGGGGGGTTTGGTCATCAACTAACATGCATCAACTAACATGGCCGCAGTGGCTATTCCCTTAGTGACTACTTAAAATCACAGGACTCACTCATACCTTTTCAAAATGTTTGGTTCTTGAAAAACTTACCTTTATTGGTCAGTCTAATAAAAGGATACTTTTTGAGCATCTACTTACTGTTTTCCAAGTACTAACTATAATATAGGTAGGGATACAGCATTAGATCTTATTGTAATCAGGATTTGAAAGGGAATAGAGTTAATATAGGACTTGTAATTCATTGGGTTATTTTATAGTATTCACCCAAAAAGTCAAATGCAGAAGAATGTGAGAGATCTATTCTTGCACTAGATACTCAAAGAATCCCTGAAGGCCTAGATCCCAAGGCAGTGTCCTATACCAGTCCAACTGGGAGGCCTAAAGCCCATAACAATGTCTGATACAAGTCTGTATCAAGTATCTGCACTGGAAAGGCAAGTGGTGGAGGCTAGAATGTCTGTGCCAGTAGGCTGAGGGATCTGCCTACTGGAGCCAGGAAAGTAGGACCAGAACTCCCCCAAAGAGCACTTCAGCCATCCTCAGTGACAGAACCCAAGCTCCTACAATGATGAGAAAAGCTGAGTTCTTATCAGAAATACCAGGGTGACAGGCTTCTCCAGGAGAGTCAACAGCATACCATCTTCCCCTTCAGTTTTCCCTTTAAGCTAATGGCAACAATCCTTAGGTGGGCCTTCCACCTCCAGAACAACAGTGATTCAGTTCAGCTGGGTGTTACAAATTGACCTTTAGTTAATCCACCACGAGCCTAAAAAGGGTCTGTTCTTAGAGTTTGTAATTTTAATTGGAGATTTTCAGATCTTGCTTAACTTCTCTGGGTAAGACAATAGCACTATTATTTTTTATTTTGATAAGAAAACAGAGTTCTAGTCTATCTATATTACCTTTCAGCATGCAGTGTTCAAAGCAATATCCAAATGTTTTCACTTCTTTGCTGTCTTCTTTTTAAAAAATTTAAATTACAAAATCTAACAAACATGCAGAAAAGCACACCAAATATAAATGTCAAGCTTAACAAATTGTGAATACCAGCAAGGTCAAGAGCTAGAACAGAATATAGTCTGGCTCCTAGATGTTCCCTGTCCTGTTTCCTGCACCCCTTCCTGCTTATGTACCTGTTGATTCCCCTACCGCAGTAAACACTAGCCTAACATTACATCGCTCAATGTTTTTACCACTTAGTTATGCAGTTTGGTCTATTTTTAAAATCTTGATTTGTTAATTTTTTAAATTGCTTTACAATATTCCATTTTATTAATATACTATAACTTATCTGTCCTACCTTTAATTGTAATTTTTCTTTTTCTTTTGGGAAAATTAAAAACAGTGTTGCTGTGAACATTCTCGCAAACATCCAGGGTTCAAAGCATGTGTTTTATTCAGAAGTGAAACTGCTTCTGTATAGGCTTATCTTTATTAGCTTATATGGATTTTTTCCATAGTGGTGGTACTATTATGTTCCATCATCAATGGGTGAGGGTTCTCTGCATTCAGACTTCAGTTACCGTCTGATGGGTGTTTGTGGCAGTATGTCTTATGGTTTTAGTTTGTATTTTCCTGTAGTTGAGCATTTATTTTGCCAAAGTCTTGTTCTATTGCTTACTATTGTTCTGTTGTCATTTTTCTTACTGATTTGTAGAAATTCTTTTTATATGATGAATATGGATACTTTTTAAAGAAATTATATGCATTGTAACTATTTTCTTCATTTTGTGATTTCCATTCTGTGATTTCTTTATTATTCCTAAAAGAAAACATATTTTTAACTTTAGTCAGATTTATCAGTCTTTCTCTTTGAGGTTAATTATAGTTTATTTTAAAAATTCTCAGGTCAGTCATAAAGACCTTCCATATCATTGTCTAAAAGCATGTTGGTTTGCCTTTCCTATATATATCTGTGCTCTGTTTATAACCATGCTTCTTTTGGATGAGGGGGTCAAAGGTAGGAGTTGGTTTTTATCTTTTCTACATGGTTATTTCATTGCCCAGCACCACTCTTGAACAATTCTGTCTCCTGTGCTACCTTTATCATGAATCAAGTATCTTTATGTGTAAGTGAACTCTTAAATTTGTCCATTGGTCTCATGTTGGTTAGTTTTATGGGTCCACTTGACTAGACTGTTAAGTGCCCAGATATTTGATTAAAATATTTTCTGGTGGTGGTGGTGGTAGTTGTCAGTCATCATCATCATTGTCATCATCGTCATCATCTTCTTTTTTTTTAACTAGGACTGAACTCAGGACCTTGTGCTTACCAGGCAGGAGCCATGTCACTGAGCTACACCCCCAGCTCCTATTCTTATTGTTTTTAGAGCTTGTTTTTGGATGACATTTGGTAGACAGAATAAAGCAGGTGACCTTCCCTAATATGGGTGGCCTTGTTAACCAGTTGAATTTCATTAGTTTGGTAAGAATCTCAATGACCACTATATTCTTAGGGAAAAATTGATTTTTAGAATCTTTATTTGCTATTAGCAAACTGAACAGTATCAAGTATAGTATAAATTTTTGAATGAATGAGGTATTGAAAGATAGGTGACAAACTGAGTTGTAAGCCTGGTTGGTTTAGGAGCCACCTGGGGGATTAGTAAAGCCAACTTCTGGGTATGGCTGGGTGCGTCATGGAGGTGTGACCTTGAGTTCTGTATCTAGTCCTTGGCTCCTTCTGTTATAGGCCTACTCTGCTTTGCTTGCTGACTACCATCAGCTGTGCAGCTCTGTTCAGCCAGGCCCCTCTGCCATGATGTTTCTGCCTCCGAACCAGCTGATCATGGACTAAACCCTCTGAACCTGTGATCCAAAATAAACCTCTTCTCTGTTAAGTTTTGAATGTCAGGTTTTGGTTTGTTTTTCTAACAATACAAAAATAATA